TAGTTAATAAGAAGCCTGAGCTACCAGGCCAACCAGCTCATAATTAAGATAGGCCTCCGTGTATTTCTTTGGGACTGAATGGCTGCAGGACCGGGCAGGACAGAAACCTTAGTCAACAGACTACTTTCCTTATGGACATACAGCAATCACATAGGCAAAGCTATAGGCATGTCAGAAGTCGTCCAAGTGGGGACTGAAGTCCCCAATGTCAAAAGATCTGCAATAAGGACACAACTATTTGTATAATGATCTGAAAATGATTTTTATGACACTCATGATGAAAGATATGACATTTCCTCAAGTTATATGACTATTAATATTGCAACGGATTTTATATAATAAATAAAATGGGACATAGCTTTCTTCTACTAAACGAGATCTTGAATATCATACAAAAATGCAAAACAATTATCACTCTCCTGACTAAATATTTTCTGATTTTTAACGTGACTATTTTTGATAAAACTACAGTGTGTATCCTAATAGGGTTTTCACTCCCATTTCAGACACGTCCTGTGGTGCTTTGAGTGGAAAATGTCCTCTTTGGCCGTAGGTGTTTGGACGCTTGAGTTGTATTTAGTGGCACTATTTCAGATGGTAGGGAACATTAAGAGGTGTGGCCAACCTAAAGGAAGTATGCCACTATGGGCATACTGACAGATTTGAACCTCATTCACCTTACCTCGAGTTCTCTCCTTGTCCCCCACACCCTGTGATATTCAGATGTGATCTCTCAGTTTCCATCCTGTTACCATGGTTCACCTCCCATTGTGAACTTTCTCTCTGTCTGCTTAAATAAACTCTGACTTCTGTAATGTCCTTTTTTTTTTATGGTTCCTTATCACCCGACAAGCAGTAGCATGTCATAGATCTGAATCTTTATATTATAAACCTGATTTCTATTTGTGAGAATGGTGAGAATCCATTTTCTGATTAGGTATATGGATGCTTCTTATCAATAAGTGAGCTATGTCAGCCTCATGGGTCTCCCAATAGTGCTTTTTTAAAGAACCACACTATAAGCATAAATGTCTTTTCCTGCAATAATTGACACCCTCAAGGGTGTTGTGATTACCAAAGAGTACGTTCCAGCTTCTGACCAGCAAGGATTATGTATGTGTGTCAAGAAATCGAATCATTTGGAAATTCAGTATAACCTGGCTTATAGAAAATTTCAAATAGCTTTCAGGTCTTCTGTTACATATGACATTTTGGTCTGTAAATATCAACCCAAAGTCAGCCCCCACGTGGGTAACCCTCTACTCATTGAGAAACAAGCTACTGAGCAGGAAATGCTGGCAGCTAAATCCCTATAGGATGTATAAATAATTTCAAACATCTCAGGGAAGAAATGCCAAGATTTGCAGAACAGGTTTGTTGATTGATCCACACCTGACTTCAGGGGCCATGAGAAAACAAGCATACATTTTCCAGAGACCTATTATTTCAGAAGATTATTCCAAATTAACTAAAATAGAATACACATTTTTCTCCACACAGTGAGACTCCTTCTTAAAAGAGCATAACATTTGATGCTTCTCATTCTGGAAATAAATCCTTAGTTATTCACATGTTTTCATTAATTACCAGGATGGATATTCCTTTAAAATGTATGATTTTTAGTAGACTTGAAAACATATGACTAGGTTAGAAAATTAAAGTTGTGTGTGAAACTTCCCTTAAAGTATTTGAATTAATAATCTTGATATCGTCTATATTTTTATTAAGAGTAATGGAGCGATATATACTTTTTTTTTCAAAAAGAAGGACATATGTTAAAATCAGTAATAGAAAATATATGTATAATCCCAATATACATATGCATGTATGGAAATGTCTTAATTAAGGCAATTACTTTATATATTAAAAACCAGTATTATACTGCTACTTAGTAATTTCAGATCACCAAATACACCATTGTTTTTCTTGGTGCCTATATATACCAGGAGATCATAGTGTATTAAACCTATTTAGTTTTAGACATATATAGTATTTCCAATGTTTTGCATAAACATGTTTTCATGTAAATCTCTTATTACATCCTTAGGATTGATTCCCAAAAGTTAAATTGCTACATCAAAAATAAGCACAACTTGAAAGCATTTCTGTCTGTTGTTCTACACTGCCAGCGCTGTGTGAAAGAGCCCTTGTTTTAGGAGCATCAGCAACACCACAAGCATCTCCTAAGGTTGCTCACTCTTCCTAAAATAGTCAAAAGCAAGCAACGTTTGGACTCCCTTGAATGTCAAGTGAGTCCTTAGTCACATCCCAAGATATCATGTGGTTTGTGCCAATTTTGCTTCCAATTTCTTCATCAACTCCAAGCAAAGGTATAAGTAAATGAGACATTCCTCTCCATCAAATACAAAACATGCTTCCCTGAATCTGCATGTGTAGTTCTTGTTTCCCACTTCACTGGACAAGTACAAATAGATTTTTGTTTTCTTCTTCCTGCGGGCATTGGAAAATGTCCTTCTACATTTCCTTAAGATTTATTTTTCTTTCTTACCCTTTTGACTGAGACAAGGAAAAAAGTATGAAATTTATGTAGGTGGTATTTGTGGAATTAAACCTGCTGCAACCAATTTAAATTATCTCAGTGAAAAGCAAAGAATAATGTGTTTCTATAGTTTGATTTCCAGCACTGTTTTTTATCTTCATCAAAGCATTTTGATAAATCACCTACAATACAGACAGCATGGTGATAAATCCTAGGAATAAAAGGAAAAAAAGAAAGATGCAGTAAACATTACCCTCAGTTGATTCACCCTCATTGATGAATAGGAACATATTTTTAAAAATTATAATTATTAGTACTTATTACCCAGTCCCAAGTGACCAGAAGTAAGTAAGTCAATATCATGGGAGAACAGGAAATTATTAGTAGGGATATTCACATTCAGTGGGATTTGATGCATATTTGTGTTTGTGTGTGTATGTGCATCTTTGTGTGGACATGTATGAGCAGGCACAAAAGCCTATGCATGTGTGTGTGGCAGCCTGAAGTCAATGCCAGGAGCTTTTCTCACCCCTCTGCTCTACTCTTGGAATAGAGTCTTTCACTTAACCTGGAGCCCATCAGGTCAGCTAAACTAGCTGACCAGAATTGGAGGCTTTATGACTGTAGAAAGAGAGAAAGTGAGCAGTCTGGTGTAGACAGATAAAAGAAGAAAGGGAAGAGGTTTAGTTTGAATAATGTTCAAGTACATTAATAGTCACCACAATTCCAGATGAACTGGGGACATAGCCGTGAAGGATGATACCTAGTGTATGGAAATGAATGCACAAGAAGAAGTATGTGTAGTATCTGCCATACTTTTCTATGTGTTGTACCTTTATCGTCATCCATATCAATAAGATGAGACAGGCAGACAAGAAAGCTTGAATGGCGGCTAGCTGACTCAAGGCACAATATCTTGGGCATCAGCATTTATCATTATCCCTCTGAGGCTTTGGACTGTCCTCAAATTCACCTTGATATTGACAGGCTTTAGACAAACGCTTTAGTAATTGAGAACAGTAAATTAGAGTCCACTGAATTTCGTTAGAAAATATTAAGTCTTAGCACGCTGAAATGAACCGACCTTCTACCGTTACATTTTCATTGCGCCCTCCACTTGGTCTGGGTGGGGTGAGATCCTCTGGCCTCAGTAATACTTTCTCAGATGTCTGGACCAGAGTTCTCATCACATCTCATGGCTAGGGTCTTTAGAGGGGAAAAGAATATAAGATGAGAAGTGGATTTGTTGATGATAAATATTTGTTTCACGTGAATAAGTTTGAAAGTGAAATCTGAGCTTTAATTGGAACCCACTGTAAATTGAAAATAAATACATAGCTGTTTAGCCTCCCACTCCAAGTGACTCTCAAGGACAGTTGGGGGATACTGGGTAATGCCTTGATTTTTTTTACTTGACTCTAATTGCATAATATTCATTTCACCCTTCATTAATCTAATATACTAAAAAAAACAAAAAGGAAAACAGACTTTACATTAAAGAGTGAAGTTTTAGAAATTACACACCATAGGAAGCTGATCTTGAGCACCCTAACTGTAAAATATTGTTACTTCCTACAAAAGAATGTGGCATTTTCTTCACTTATCAGTCATTATTTTTAAATGTTATGAGGTGTTTCTTCAAGTTAAATTATACCTGTTAATATTTTTGAAGGCTTGTCCCTTTAAAACTAAGTCTTCTTACCATATCTTGCTGAATCTATGCATGTCAAATTTACAAGCCAGAAGCACTTAAAACAGTGTGTGACTTCTAGATACTTTCAGCAACTTTGAGATAATTGAGTATAATCTTCAAAGGGTACAAGATGGTAGCAACACAAAAAGCTCATTCATGAATAAAATTGGGGAACGTGGCTTCAGAAGCTAAGCACCTTCACAAATTCAATTAAAAAACTGGTGTTTGCTAGGTGTCTAGGGGATGTTAAATCTTATTATAGACTTCAAGAGCTTCGCAGACTATAAGATTTGTCCTTATTAAGTTATGTTTCTTAGTTCATCATTAATATATAGCTAAAAACATTTTTGAAAATACTAAATACCATTTTTAATCATATAAACGACCAGATATCCAGGAGGTAATAATTTCTTGAATAAGAAGCAAGGATGTTCAGACCATTTTGTGAATGGTTTTTAGCTCTCTCATAACTTGTATATTATAGCTAAGAGTATTGACAGGGATGGGACCTAGCCCACCTCAAAAGTCTAGTCAATAGGGCATTCTTTTGCAGAGCATGTGAGATTGTAGATTCTATACTGTAGAATATGAAAAGAAATGAGTGCTGGTTTTCTTAATTGGTTGAGAGATGATCACGGGAACTTATTTACTAAGGGTGGAATTTATCCTCTATCCCAGATGGTGTGTGTGTGTGTGTGTGTTTGTGTTTATGTGTGTTTGTGTGTGTGTTTGTGTGTGTGTGTGTGTGTGTGTAATTCATTACTTTAAGTCAACTCCAAATATATAGTCACATTAACTGTCTGTCAGTTTTCCAGACCAAGACATTCGTGAAGTGGCCGTTCAACAGTTAGACAGGCTCTTGACTGGTGAACTGCTGGAGTGCCTCCCACAGCTGGTTCAGGTAAGAGCCAAGGCTCCCAAGGGATCCCAGGGTCCTAAAGGTTCCCAGTGTAAGCCCACAAAAATCACTGAAATGTTATAGTGCGAGTTGGCCAAGGAAAAATTTGATTATATCCCATGTGTCCATGTTATTAATATAGACATTTTCTATCCAGAATTGATATACTAACAAGAAATCATGTAAAAACCCACAAGGAAAGTTTTCACAAACCAATTTCTCTTAGTAATTCGTATTGGGGAAAACATAGGCATGTTCATGAGGAGGAACAATCGTCTCATGACTGAGTATGTGAATCGATGAAACATTAACGGAGGAAGCACTCTGTAGAAAACAGCCATTTACTAAAGAGATCTTCGTTCATGAGCTTCTTGCCATTCCTATGGAGAGTCTTACTGCCAGTTATTACTCTTGAGAAAGTAATTTTTAATACCCAATTCTGTTGCTAATTAGCACAATGTAGCAACGTCAGCTATCACAGCATTGGGAAATTTCTAGAAAGCCATGTGAAGGTAATGAAAGGCTAAGACTGAAGATATCTGGTTCACACATGAGCATCCACAAGCACCCACGCTACAGAAGGGTAGCTATGCTCCAATAGGACTGTTTGCTGGGTATGAAGAAGAACAGCATTGTGGTTTTTGTTTTGTTCTCTCTCTCTCTCTCTCTCTCTCTCTCTCTCTCTCTCTCTCTCTCTCTCTCTCTCTCTCTACTAGAAGACTAAAAGGCAACCCAAGGTATCAGTCACCATTGTTATTGTTTATTATTATTATTATTATTATTATTATTATTATTATTATTATTATTATTATTTTGATACAGGGCATTCACTGGCCCCAAGCTCAACAAGTAAGCTAGGCTGGATAGCCAATGAGTGTCAGGGATCTGCCTGTCTCCACCTCCCTAACACTGGGATTTCAAGGTGGGCCACCATGCCTGACTTTTCTACATGTGTTCTGGGGACAAAACTCAGATTTTCCTGTCTGCAAGACAGATGTTTTCCCAACCGATCTACCTCCACTAACAGAGTCTCAAAAGTCAGGATGACATGAAACTCACCATATGGTAAAAGATGACCTGAAACTTCCTCCTGCCTCCAGCTCCCGTGTGTTGGATTTACAATTAGGTATCGCCACACCCAGGCTAATTTTTAAACTCAGACAATTCCTTACCTGGCAGATTGGAAACTTCCTTAACAGATAGTTGGCTCAGCTATTGACCATTGCTATGAGATGTGAAGAAACTTCTATTAATAAGCTCTAATGTTACTTTGTACATCACAATGGGAGTTGTTCTGACATCCTCCTGAGAGACTGAGCTGAGAAATAGCCGTGTTGGTTTGTACTTTAAGTGATCCATCCAATTGAAAAAGGATGCTTAAAGGAAATCCCACACTAGCTCAGAATTGAGGATAATAGAGGGTTATTTATGTAAGAGTAGACTCACAAAACACAATCATCTGCTGGAACGGAGAACAACCACCGAATTCTGCAGCCAGAAAAGAGGCTGGACACACACTTTTTATCAGCATAAATAGTATAAGAGGCCACACCCAAGTGGGCGGGTAAGTTAAAGGGTACTGGCTGTTGGAATTCCCACAGCATACAGTAATGACTTCCCTTGATTTGTCAGGATATCATTAAAACAAAAAATAATACCCACATATAAGAACAGATGAATCCAACTCGTGGGTTCATATTCATGTCATGACTCACAGATATGGGCAACTTACTCTCTCTAACTTGGCACAGAGAGGAAGTATTAACAAAGTTTTACATAGAATGAATTACATTCAATGTGCCATTCAGAGCAGTATGCATGGTGCTAAGAATGCCATATTCTAATAAAGCCAGTTTCATAAAAAGTACACTCAAAATCTAATGCTACACCTACAGAAATAAAAATTGAAAGCTCTATCTCTGTTGTAATTGAAAATAAAATTTATAGACTGTTCTAAGATGGGAAGACATACTTACTGTGACTAAACAACAAAATCTAGGGAGAATCTCACATTTACTATGAAGTTTACTTCAAGGAATGAATGCCCCACCTTGGCCTTTAAACTTTCTAAGACCTGAAAGTCCTCCCCTGTTGATTATTTTTAGAAATTATGTCACATACCCAAAAAAAAATTGCCTGCATACTTTATAATAAGGATGAGAGGGAAATTCTATCCTTAGGCAGAATAAGGCAATGAGTTTGTAAGCAAGGGAGTCAGTCTGTAAGTTCTCATCACCGGGTTCCAGAAGAAACATGAAAACAGATAAAAGCCAGGCAGATCCAAGAGTAAATTCTGGACCAGCTTCTGCCTCAGTGGTCATATTATATGTTCTCCCTTGAGGCATAAACAAAACGTACAGCCAAGCCAACATAGCATGAGCATGGGAGAGAAAGGAGCTGTGACCGTGGCATGACAATGCACACGTTTTCCACACACACTCCACCAGCGTTAGACTTATGTGCGTTTGCTGAAATTATTGCATTCTTAACACTTTAGGAATCTATCCTTCAGGTGTGGATGTGGGATGAACAGCACTGCTTTTTATCTCTACTGTGGCATAAAGCCCTTCTCCCCCCCCCCCCCCCTCTCTCTCTCTCTCTCTCTCTCTCTCTCTCTCTCTCTCTCTCTCTCTCTCTCTCCCTCTCTCTGTCGTTTCTCTATGAGCATGGGTATGTGTATGTGGCAAATAGACTGAAAAGGCAGGAATGGATAATTTTAGGAAGATAACTCAATTTCTGCTCCCATGATGAGACCCAAGTTCAGACTGGGGACCGTTGAGTCCCTACAGAGGGCAGGTGCATGTCTGAGTGAGGTCCCAAAGGGCATCAGAGACTGACACTGCCGTCTGTACCTTTGATCAGATTGAGGATCTGCCTTCCCGAGCTGCTCATGAAGGAGAGGAAGAAATGGTTTAGGAATGAGTTATGGTGGCACCAGCAGCTTTGAATTTTTAATCAGGCTCCAGTATCTGTAGATTAATAGTCACACATCAGTTGGGGATTTCTATCTTGGTTGTGAGTGGGAGCTAATTGATCTCCAAGTCAGTAGAACTGTCTAGTGCTTAATGATACCATTTTATGGGTCACCAAAATTCATCATATATTTTTGTGGCAGGATTCTCCCCTGAGGCGTGGCTGGAGTTTACCAACTATTTGCCTTTATTTAGTTTCTTATACTCCGAAAACATAAATAAAAAGAAGCAAGACCATGGAAATACAAATTGTGTAACATTTTCTGTGTTATTATACAACAAATAAACTATCAAGGGTGTTATCAATATTTTATTGAAAAGCTCCTGTTATTTTTCCATATCCCTGTCTGAAGCCTCTGCAGTCCTGTGTAGTATGTTGTGGGCTTTTGTTTGCTTGTTTGTTTGTTTTGTTTTGTTTTGTTTTGTTTGTAGCTGATAAAGAGCAAAGGATTCCTTGCCTCTCACTGCAGGCTGTCAAGTTTGAGTGGAATCTTGAAAGTCCCTTGGTAGAACTCCTGCTCCGTCGTTCCTTGCAAAGCATCCGGGTGGCCCACCGTCTCTACTGGTAAGACTGGCATAAGTCCAGGTCCCCTTAGGCCCCAGCTTCTCTCAGCATGGTGAGAAGAAGATCCCTTTACCTATGATTGTATTATCGTCGATTGAAAATTCTGCTGAATCTTTTGTAAGTTACTTTTACAACTCTATTTAAAACTGTGCATGCCTATCAAAACAGGAAACACTTACAGAAGCCTATTTATTCAGCATAAATAATTCACATTTATATAGAAGACTTCTTTTTCTCTTTTTTGCTGTTGCTCATTCTTTCCTTCAAGTTAGTATGCAGCATGACAGGTTTAATTATGACATTTTCATACATATGCATCATTATTCTTACTTCTTATTCATCCATCCTCTGGCTACTCTCCCCCATCCCTTGCTCCCTTCTTGCTGGTTTTCCTCCCACAGTAGTCTCCCTCTCTTCTCACACATCACATGTATTCTGTTGTCCCCAGTTTTCCACATTCCTTTTACCGTTAGACCTCTTCCTCCTCTCCTTTCACAGCATACACGACACACACACATCCAAGCCTGCATGCCATAGATGGATGCTATGTGCGAGAATGCTATAGAGTTTTCAAACCTGTGTTCATTGGGGTGATAGTTGTCATTTGTTAATTGATCTGGGTTGTCAAGATCCAGTTCCACTGTTGGGATAATACTGGCTTGTGGAGTAACGTCCATAACCTTCCTTCTGCTACTCTGTGGAACAGCTTGAGGCGTATAGAGGTCACCGTTCTCGCATCAAGGTTTGGTCAAACTCAACGGTGAATCTGTCCAGTTTGTTTGTTTGTTTGTTTGTTTGTTTGTTTTTTCTGGTTTCTCAAGAAAGCTTTTTCTGTAACTTTGGAGGCTGCCCTGGAGCTAGGTCTTGTAGACCAGGCTGGCCTCGAACTCACAGAGATCCATTTACCTCTGCCTCCTGAGTGCTGGGATTAAAGGCGTGCACCAACACTGCCTGACTTGGTTTGGGGTTGTTTATTTGTGGAAAAACTTATTGCTGTCCAATTGCACCTACTGATGTCATCTCCTACTGACTTGGGTGCGGTGCACGGAGGTGTTCACCGCTAGCATTTCCATTTGTTTTATTGATTTTCATCAAGATCTAAATTTCCTTGCTGAAGTTGCCTTTCCTGTTGCTGACTTTCCATCATGTTGTGATGTTCTCTAGCTTCTTTCTCTGTACTGCTGATTTTCCTGTCAAGCCCTGGATTGAATTCATGGCTTGTTAGTAACCCATTTCAGTTCATTGATCACTTTTTGCCGATATCTCGGTGGGGACCTCCAATTGCCACGCACCGTGCCCCCGTGTCTGCACTTTGTGCGCTGGCACCCAGTTCGCGAGCTTCGGGCAAGGGGCCTGGAGGTTAAAATACACAGATACACACAGACAGAGAGACAGCGACACGGGTCATCCTTGAATTCCCCAAGAATGCCCCCTTTATTGTGTTCAGGGGCAGATTATATAGAGATAGCCACGCCCCAGCCAAATCCACCAGAAACCACTCTCCTGCCAACAGGAACTCCGGAAGGGCTCATGCTCAGAGCAGCTGTAGGCACTCAGATCAGGGGATTACAAGAAATTCAGGATCTGGGTCTCACTGCTCCCAACAACTTTTATCAGAAAACATTTGGGAATTCTTCACTGAACTCTTAATTACCATCTTTGACGAGTCATGCTGTTCAACTTTCCCTCAGTTTTGTGTTTCTCTTTTGTGAATTTTGCATCTGCTCTTGTGGATAGTGTCTATGGTTTCATCTGGAGACCCTCGCAGCAGCCTGCTTTTAAGGGCTCACTCCCTAGTTCTTCTCAGTGAGAATAGAACAAGGGACTGTAGCAGCATCAACACTGAATTGTGCAAGATCAAGAGTTACACTCCACAATCAACTAAAGCCCAGTATTTATTTCATCACCAAGGGCCATGAACTAGAAAACAAGAGTAAATAGAATGTCTACAAATTATTATTGGTAAATGGAGGGGTAGTAAATGAATGAAATAAAGGAAGGGAAGTCACACAAAGGGGAGAAATAAAAAAGAAGCAAGCTAAAGAAAGGAGACTTGGAAAATGATGCTATGGGGAAAAGAAAGAAGATTGAGAGATCAGAGGAAATTAAAAGAGGGAAGAAGTTCAAGTATTAAATGCCCATTATAAAGGAAAAATGTAGAAAGAGAAAAAGGAAAGAACAAACAAAAAGAAAGGGAAAAGGCTGGCCAGTGATAAAAGGAATCTATAAACAAAATAAGATAACTGTAAAAAGGTAATAAAATATTTTTAAAAATGTAAAACAATGTAAAATACTGCTAAGATAAATAAAAACAGCAAAAAGAGATGTATAGAAGAAAAGAATTGAAAAAAAGAAAATGTGTGGAAAGAGGGTTATTTCTGTATAATAAAAAAATTAAAGACTTCAGTGTAAATTTAGGGGTGGAGGGCATGATTGAGCTATTGAACATTTGTCTTTCCTGTGGTTTATGATTTTGCTTAGACTGTATTGGCCAAGTCTCCAGGGTCTTCAAGAGCTGACTTCTCATGGATATCTTTCTTTCATTGTTTACCAGACTCTTTCACAACTGCATGGAGCTTTGCAGTCTGTGGGCTTGATGGATGTTATTACCTTCTTGAGACTCACCAGCTTGTTCCTCTGGAATGGCTTTGCGTTCTGGTTGAGAGTGTCTCTCAAATGCATTGGGGCTACAAAGCAAGCAGAACATTGAGATTTGTGTAAGCAGAGAGCCCTTCTGACTCTCAAGACATGCTCGGTATGAATGACGGGGCGAGAAGAAGCAAGGGTTAGAAGGTGCATGAGCGGAGCTCCAAAGTTGGGCCTTACAGAGAGATGGCTCCAAGTGCTGATCTCTCTGGGCTGAATTCTCAGTTGATGAGATCTGCTCCCTGAAACCAAGGGTGGACTTGTGTTTTCTTGCACACGCCACCGCCTGAGCCAAGTCTCCCAGGTCTTGCACTTTCCATCTTGTCAACATCTGACCTTTTCTCCTACAACTGCCTCTGAGAGAAACATGGAGCCTCATTTCATAACAAGAGAACTGGAGGCTCTGAATACTGAGAGAAAGGCAGTTTACTTCATGATTTTGCATACCGGCTATTAGCTTAGAATGGCAGGTATGCATACTGGATGCAGAGAAGCTTGTATAGCCCACATTCCAGTCTCTCCCTCCCTTTCCTCACTGACTGAGTAGCCAAAAAGTGCACAATTTTGTTTGCCATCCAAGTATCCTCTTTCCCACTGCCTCCCATGTTTGCCCATTTCTTAACCTTGACGCTGTTCATCTCTATATTTTACACTGTTTAAAGTTCATCAGGTTCATGACCAATCCTATTATATCTACAGGCCTCTAGGCATGCTTGGCTGCGGATCTCTGTGAGTTCGAGACCAGCCTGGTCTACAGAGCTAGTTCCAGGACAGGCTCCAAAGCCACGGAGAAACCCTGTCTCGAAAAACCAAAAATAAATAAATAAATAAATAAATTTATGTTCTAAACTTTTAGTTTAGTTGGAGAGGGTATTAGATGAACAGAGCTGTGGAACTAAACTAATATAGTGCTGGGGAGAGCTAGATTAGTACATCTGAGGGGAGCAAGTCTAGCATGGGGGGGGGCAGCTAGCCTAGCAGATCTAGTGGGGAGCAGGTAGCCTAGCAGATCTTAGGGAAGCTAGATTAGCCATCTTTGGAGAGCAAAAGTAGCTCAGCTTGGAGAGGGAAGCTAGCCTAGCGCAGCCTGAGGAGAGGAGCTAGCCTAGCATGTGGTAGCTGGGTTTTCCTGTTTATAGTTCATCTGTATCTGAACTTGAAAGCACCCTGACAATGACTGTCATATACTTTTTTAATTTCTTGCACTTCCTCGAGGATTTTTTTTTTTGCCTTGGGGCTATGGTGTGTTGGACGGGGTTTTCTTACTATTAGTTATTGTCTGGTCTCAGACCCATCCAACCCTCCCCTGGGTTAGGGAAGCTTCAGACAATAGCTTCTTCTCTAAGATGGCCCTTGCCCTCTGCTCTTCAAGGTATATTTTGTAGGTGAAAACTGTTCTTTTGTTTCCTGACCGCTAAGACCCAAATAATCACTTACAATACCATTTGGCCAATAGATAAAGTACATCTCAAACTAACCCATTTCTATTAATCTGTGTATCAACACAAGGCTGTGGCTTACAGATAAGGTTCTGTTCTGATATCCTCCTTCCACAGCTACATGGCATCTCCCTGACTCCTCCTACTCTCTCCTTATATCTCTGTTTGAATTTCCCATCTGGCTTTATTCTACCCTGTCATAGCCAAAGCATCTTTATTCATCAACCAATAAAGCAACGCGTATACAGGACATTCCACTTTATATATTGAGTGAAAAAAGTAGGATTCTTATCTACTGATAATTCATCCAATTAAAGAATCATTGTCTTATCAAAATCTACAGCTGGTTGGGGACTCCTAAGTGTTGTGAGCTTGTCCTGAGGGTGAGACAGCCAGTCCTTCTTCACCAAGGTTGTCTAGGGTGCCCCTTATCCCTCTCGGCTGGGGGTTGTTTGGCTTGCATTAGTCTCCTTGAGTCACCTGTCTTCTCTGTGTTTGTCAGGTAGTCTGTACTACTTCTGTGAATTTCTAAAACTGCCTCTCCCTTTCCCCCCCTCTCTCTCCCTCCCTCTGTTTCCCTCTTCCTCGCTCCCTTCCCCTCTCTCCCTCCCTCTTCGCTCTGTGGAATAGATGTTATATTCTTTCTTATTCTGACTCTTATTGTTCACTGTCTCCCACCCAGGCAGCTTCTTTTCAGCCATCTTGCCCAGAAGAGAAAGTGCTGCTATTTATGAGTACAGGTTAACTTTTATAATTTCCAAACCCTTTCTTTTCAACAATTTCTGTTTTTTAATAGGAAATTAATTTCAGTCTGGATTGTAAGATGGGTGGAAGGTTTTGTGGTTGTATCACGTGACGATTTCCAGACAACTCATAACTGTGGGGCTGTGGATATTTAGGAAGCTTACAGGTTTT